AATTTGAGAATTATATTAAATAATTTACAATTAATATTAATTTTATTCATCTTTATTGTTTATTTAATTTAATCCTAATTTATTTATTTCCAATTATAATTATTATATTTATTGATTTAATTTTATTATCTAATCATGAAGCATTTATTTTTCATGATTTAGTTATTCAATAATTTAATCAGCATGAGTTTAATTTTATTTAAGTAATTCCTTTTCTCTTCTTTCAGATTATAATAAATTTTAAGCATTAAGTATATCATCCTATAATTTTCTATTTAAAATTTTTGAATTCTCAAGATCTCTATTAAAACTTTCCCTCAATTCAAGTAATTATTACTCATGATCATAATTATTCTTTTCCATTCTTTATCTCATCTATGTGATTTCATTATTTTAAGATTGCTTTTCTTATTGTAAAATTAAAGTTTATTAATTTAATGTAGTAATTTTGGAAACTGTTTCAGTTTAATTATTCTACTTAGATCTAAGATTCATTATTTCTAATTCATATTGATTATTTTAATTAGATAATTCACTTATTCTTACATTTAATATTTTAATTTCTTCATCTCCTCTTTATTTACTTTATAATATTATATCTTTTTCTTTTTATAATTTCAAATTATAATTTTCTAATTGAATTACTTTATTTTTTAATTCTTCAGTTTAATCTTATTTAATAATATTTTAGAAATCAGCAACTTGTTTTTCTAGTTATAGAATTCTCATTGAAGAATTTTCTTTTTGTTCTTTTTCTAAGTATAATTATTTTTCTAAATTTATAACATTCTAAGATGCCATTGTATTCATAGTAGACATTTATATTTCATAATTAGATTTCACTGTTATAATTTAACTAGAGAGATCTTCATTTTATAACTTTAACTATTCAATCTAAAATTTGAGATTATTAACTAACTTTTCATTTTCTTATATAGATTTCATAGAATTCATTTAATAATTATTTTCTATTGTTATGAATTATTGTTAGATTTAAATATTATTTTCTCTTTCCTTCTAAAGCATTAACTCTAATTACTTTATTTTTGATTATAGTTCTATATTATCCTTTTCTAATTATTAAGTTTATTGTTAATAATCATTTTATATTATTATTTTATTATTCTAAATTTCTTTAGATATTTTGATATTAGCTTATTTTTCTAATTACAATTATTATTCTAATGTATAAATCTTTTATTAAAGATTAGAAATTTAGTCATTTAATTCATTAATTCTTAATTAATCTTATTACAATTACTTTTTTAAATTATCAACTTAAATTTGATTTAATGATTACATTTATTTTTATGTAGATATATTTTATGCTTATACATCTTTTACTTAATGTTCTAATTATTGTATAACTTAAATTTTAGTATTAAGAATTGTTTAAACTTCTTTTAATTGTTATTCTTTTTCAATCAATTACTATCTTAAAGTATTAGTTTAATTCTAAATTTCACCATTTTAAGTTTTTTGTATACCATAGTCTTTCTAAAAGTTTTCTTATTATTTTTTAATTATTAAATGTTATTCTTGTTCTAATAATAATTAAGATTAAAGTTAATTCACTTTATCTTTTAATTATTTCGTATTTTCATTCATTTATTATTAAAGTTAAGTGATTTTTTATTAATATTAATTAATCTCCTTAGATTGTGCTGATTTTGATTAAGTAGATTCTTTTTACAATTAATCATACTTTTATTTAAGTTAATTATACTCTTAATTTAGTTCAGAATATTTTTATGTTTATTATTGTAATTATTTTTCATTATTAGATAAATTTTCATTTTATTATGAAATTTTACTTATATTTTACATTTAATTATCTTTTTATGTTTTTAATTTGTTTAATAAATCAGCATTTTATTTCTACAAATCAATTAATTATTTTTAAAGTTCATCCTTTTATTCATCATTTGTGGTTATCTTTTTACGTTTTTCATCTTCATCTTACTTTAATTGATTAATCTCATCTCTTTATTTATCTATTACTATCTTTTATTCATTAAACTTTTATTATAATTAATTAAAATTCTTTTATTATTTCTCAAGATTCTAATTATATTCTTTATTTTATATAGATAACTTATTTTCGAAAAGTTGCAACTGTTATAATGCAGCTGTATATTTCTATTAAAATTATTTTTACCAATTCAAATCATTTTATTAATAAAGTTCTTTAAGTTTTTCATTATCTTATTTAGCTTAATCTAAAAGATTCTTTAATCTATCTAATTCTTGTTTTTATTTTCTTTATTCTTCAGCATCTTAAATTAGGGCAATTTATTTTATGTCTTAACTATTTCTAACACTTGCTGGTTGACTTCTTCTTAAACTTTCAGGTTATTATGTAAATTATTTTAGATTTTCTAAATTCTTAGGTTGTTTGCTTTGTAATTAAGAGTTTTAATTTATTTTATTAACAACAATAGGATTTTATATTATATTTTAAGGTTTTTATTGTTGTTTGTATAAATTTTCAGGGTTTTGTGGATTTTTCATTTGTTCTTTTGGATTTTACTTATTTTTTATTTGTTCATCTTGTTTAGGTTATTAAATTGGCTATTCTAACTTTGGTTTAGTTTATTCTGCAGGATTCTAAGGTTTTGAAATTTATTCAGGTGTAGAATGTTCTTTTGATTATACATCAGGTTCTTGTGGTGCATTACATAATTCAAATGGTTCAACTTGAGAACTATCTATAGGTGATTATTATATTGTTTAAGCAGGAAGAGATTTATTACTTTAATGTTTAGGTTCCCTTTATTTTTATTTATTTAAAGGTTCTTATTCTTCTCTCTTGATAGGGTTTTTTGCTTATGAATAGGGTTAGGATGAATTGCTACTTGATATAATTGGTTTTCTGACGCTTTCTGGAGTCATGAATAATGTATTTTGATTTTATGTCATTGGTTATTATGGTTATTTGGTTTTATTTAAATCTTCTGGAGCTTGTGGAGAGTATTCATAAGGATAAGCTAAAATATTGATTGGAGATTTATTTTAATCACTTGGGTTTTATGAATGAATTCCAAATTGTTTAGGGAAGAATTATTATTAAGATTATTATGAAAATTAAATGTAATTTACTGGTTATTATTATTGAATGTAATATTATTATGTAAGTGGATGTGTAATTGTATGGAATTGATTTACATCTTAATATCTGACTGTTTGAGGTGCTTATGGTGATAGTCTAATTAATTTAAAATATTATATAATACTGTTAATATTGTAAAAATTATACAGGTTAAGGTGAAACACTTCGTTAAATTTATCTTGGGATTGTATTTTATAAGTTTGTTTAAGTAATAATTCTTTGAATTGGAGAACATTGATATTAGATTTGATGAACTTATTAGAATTATGAAGTTTATGGGATTAGTTATTATTATTAATATTGAATGTTATTTGGAGATAGCTCTCTTTTAGTTTCAGCAGAAAAGGATCGGAATTTAATAATGTTGTTTGGAATTTATAATTAATTTTGATGTAATACTCTAACTGATTAATTTGGTTGAATTTTTTATTATAAAATATTGATTGGTTATTTCATAATAATTTATTAAGGAGGTGAATATGTTTAGGTTTAAGTTCTATCATTACCTTAAGTTTTTAATATATTATAAATTTATTTAGGTGGAGTTATTTAAATATGTAATTCTTATCTTTTAATTTATATTAATGTATTCAACAATTAAATTTAAGTTTCAATATTCTAAATAGTAAGTAAAGGTTGATTCTAAATACATTAAATTTATAGTAATAATTCATTAAATTAAGTAGAAGGATTCTACACTGATCTTCTAGAATATCTTGGAGAGAATTAGAATTAAGGATAGGCAATTTATGGAATTTATAAATGTATTGAACTTCCTGATCCAACTGATTAAGGTCTTCTTAATATTCTATAACTTAATAATGATGTATTGGTTAAGTCACTAGGAATTATTGATTGTTAATATCTTCTAGGTGTTTTAGTACTTTATAAATCATGATATATAGGAGCTGTACATTAAGAGTCTCCTTTAAGATTTGCATATTATGGCTATGTTGTTTAGTTTGATGGTTAAGATTAAATATCTGCTAATCTCTTTTTTAAATGTTCATTATCAAATAATAGCATATTCAATTTCTCATTTAAAAACTTAAGCTCTTAAGTTAATCTTTAATTCTCATGATATACATTAACTTATTATGAACTATATTACCATTATAATAATTCTCTTTCTTTTTATTCTAATAGTTAATTAATTATGTTTAATTGAGGAGCATGTTATATTATATGGGGTTATTGCATTTTTAATAATTAGATTTCTTCATTTTTTTCATGAATTAACTTAGCATACCATTACTCTAAATTGTATAATTTTTATCTCAAAGATGGAGCATCTTCAAACTATTATTTTAAAATCTAATTTTCCTTTTATAATTCTTGAATGTAAATTTCAGCATTTTTGTATTGTTCATTGATTACAAACAATTATTAACTTATTAATAGGTTCATTTCTTATTAAGACCTAAGTAATGAAGTGTATAAAATACTTTTCTTGTAAAATTTAAGTAATAAGGGCATTCTTCTATAGAATTTATTGATTTAATTCAGTAATAGTTTATGCTTATTTGGCGATTTATTCTTTGTCTTGGATTTCTAATTAATATTAATATATAATACCTCTATCAATCAAATCTTACATCTTTTTTTCATAATAATCTTTCTTTGACAATAATATTTTATGTAATCTCTCAATCTCTGTAGCCATCAATATAATATTCATTTTTTATTCTAAACATTATTGTGATAGCTATTTTTGTTCATTTTCAAATAGAATGGGTTGTGTCTCTACAGCACTTTTAATTGTAGGGAGCATAAATAAAAATAATTAATAAATTTAAGTAAACTCATTTCAGTGGTTAAGAAGTAAAAATTATGAATTCTCATTAAATTATCAAAAATTAGTAAATTTATTTATATATATATATAAGATATTTCACATAATTTAAATTAAAATATTATTCTCCCAATGTCCAACCATTAATTAGCCATTTATAAGTAATATTCCATATCCATTTATTTTCCCATCTTTAAAACATCTATTAAATTAAATCAAATTATATTTACCCTTATAAAACAGCACCATTTTAAAATACTAAATGTCCTTTACCATGCATCATTTTATTTTTTCCTTCACCTCTATATGTCTTATAGATTTTCATCAAATTAGATAAATCATTAGGATCCATAATATTTTCATTCTATACAATTGGATTATGTAAAACTATTTTTTCAAAAATATCTTAACAAGATTTTCGTCTTTACTTTTATTTATTCTAAGGAATATCCTTAAGTATTGATCCACTAGAATCAATAGAATTTTTCCTTGAATATTTTCCTTTTAATAACATTAATAAACTTGAATGAACATCCTCCTTTTCTTTTGGAGGAGTAGATTAACTACTAATTATCTTCTCTTAACTATTTCTTTTAGATTTTCTGGATTCATTCTCTTTAATTAATTATTTAGATTTAATTAAACAACTCTCCAACATATTTAATAATTTATTTTTATCACAACCTATATTCTCTTAAACTATACTCTCTTCCTCACTTTCCTCAGGTATTGGTTGTATTTGAGGATGCATCTACTATTATTACATATCTTATATTCTTATATTTTATTCAATTATGTTTTCCCAAGTCCTTTATTATGGATCTATAGTTAACATGATTTACACTAAAGTGATTAATTCTTAAGAATAAAATTCTTTGACTACCTCAAAATTATCTTAGATTAATTGATAGTCAATATATAATTTATTTTTATCATCTATAAAATAAAAATCGTAACCAGATTTTAAAGTCATAGCTTCTAAAAATACAATTCCTAATGCCCAAATATCTGCTTCAATTGTTTCATATTTCTAATTCCATCCTTAAAATTCATTAATTATTTCAGGTGACCAATAACCATATTCCTCATTATTTGGAATATGAGAATAGTTTCTTTTGAATTATTGTGTTACAACAAAATGATCAGCTAATATTACTTGAGAATCCTAACTAAAAACTATTGAATTTGGACTTATACAAGTATGAGATAATCCAAACTATTCTAAAAATTATATTTTACATCATGAAATGATTTCATAGATGAAAGACATGCTTAAAATGTATTATAAAGTTCTTCTTCAGACCAATATTAATTTGTATTTCTACGCTTTGATAATTCTTCTTCAAAATTTTTGATATATTATTCATATAATAAGCATAATCTCGATGTTATGACATAATCAGTAAGTTATATTAAATTTGAAGAATCCAATTATCTTCTGTTTTCTAAAATCTCTATTAATTATGAGTTAGGAAGTATTTGTTTTTTCCCAATAAATTTTGGTATTTCATATTCTTTATAAACATATAATAAGCTGTTTGAATTATGTTGAAGAATAATATAATCTGAATTTTCATCAACCTATAAATATTCATTATCATTTTACTAGATTGTATTAAGAGAGATCCATATGGTGAATTTAACAGTAAAAATATTATTATATAATTTTAACTATTTATATTATGATTCTAAATAAAAGTGAGTAATTTTTTTAGTTTTTCATAATTAAACAAATAAATTATAGATAAAATTTAATTGTGAACTTAAGGTGTTGATCATTTATCTTATTTATTTATCATAATTCTACATTTATTTTAATAAAATGGAATTAGAAATTAAATAGTTGTAAATCTTTATTGTATTATAGAATAATAATGAAAATGAATTAATATAAAACTAATAAATTGCTCTTTAAAAGCAGAAAATTTAACTAATAATGATAAAATTACAATGAAAAATAAATCTACTTTTGGTAAAAGAGTATAGATTTTTTAAAAGTGTTGAAGTAACAACTTAAAACCATTTAGAATTAAAAGAGAATAAATACATCATTATTATGAGAACTCTAATTTAATAAAAATATTATTATTTTTAATTTCTTATAGATTTTACAAAATTCAATTTTTCTCTTTATCCTAAACTACTATCACTTCATTCTAAGAATCTTTATTATTTTCTTAAACTTTTTATTCTTATATTATTTATGGAATATCTTGAACTTGATTTTATATATAATATTATTAAGAAATTTGATTATGATTTACTTCCTATTCATAATATTATGGAGCAGGGTTTTGGTAATATTATTATTTCAAATAAGGATCTTAGTAAGGGTTTTAATTTTAATTATTGTTATCATTTTAATAATTTTTATTAAAATGTATTGGGTTTCTATATGAACTGAATTTTGATTTATATATTTTAAAACATAAAAAGGTTGTCATAGCAAAGTCAACTATTATCATAATACCAATATTTATTATTAGACTATAAGAAAGTGATAAAGAAGCATCAGACAAGCTTTTATATACTAAATTCATTCTCTCTTATCCATTATCTGGTAAACAATTTTTTTAATTAAATTCCTCTAACAATAAAACCAAATCAATCATAAAGGAATAACTAACAATGACAGTTATAGCAAGTAAATAAGTTGATATTTCTTTAATAATTATTATTGCTGTTTAGCAACCTTTACCACAATCTTTATAAAAGCAACGATGTAATTCATTTAATATTATTACAAAAATCACACAAAATAAAAAGCATGCAAATACTAATTAACAGGTAATCAATGTACCTTAAGTATCAAACTTTGAGCCTAGATCAATTAGCTATTGAAAACTATTAATTAAAGTAATTTTTACTTATCAATTCTACATTTTTATTTAAAATATATCTAATTCTAAGCAAGCAGTTAATATTCAATTTTGTTGCTAACATTATATAAAGGTCTTTCTGATTGAACTAGAGCTAAAATATTGTTATGAGTTAAAAGTTCTCTTTCATTTGTTGTTGATATTTTGTAGTAACTATTATCTATAAAACAATCTTCTGGTTATGGAGAAAAAAGGAGATAATCTTCAGTTAATTTAGGATTTAAACTCAATAAATCTTCATCGAAACATACACCCTTACCTTTAACAATAGCCATTTTCAATAAAGGAGTAGTTTCTTTAGACTGGCTTGTGTATGCATAAAATCCATTATCATAAATTAAACTATAATTATTTAATTCCAAATCGTATTCGGAAAGTTGATATTAAGTAATAATTATATCTCTTATTGGACAAGGTTCTTCTTAGAGAACACATTAAAAATTTTCTGAACTTTAAGTTTAACATACTTTGTAACCATTTGCTTTACAATCTTCCTCTGTTGTTATTTTATTTTATAGTAAGTCATAAAAATTTATTTAAGATCTCATTGCACAAATTTACACACTTTTAAAAGAATCATTGGATGGTTATACCCAATTAAAAAATTCAATTGGACTTTTAGCTTCTTAATTATAACATCCCTTTAATAATTACCAATCTGAACAATCATATGTGTCTATTTCTCTATCTCCTAAACAAATACATCCATCTTATGTTCCTGGTATTTAATAAAAAGTAAGCAATTCATAATTTGATGGACAGGAATCTAATATTTTAATATCTATTAAAACACCAAGCTACCAATTTTCTAATATTTTTGTTATTTATTAATTTGATAAAGAGGCTTTGCTTTAGATAATTGATGTTAGGATCACAGCAACTATTGATAATATTAAGAGAAGAACTGCATTAAAGTATCTATAAGTTCTTTTTCTATTCCCAGATATGTTTTCTTTATATCCTTGATAACAACAAACACAGCAACAAATAATTCCAACAATACCTCTTTTATCATCATCTCCAAAAAAACACTCACATAAGCAACAAAGAATTTCCATCTTGTTGTTATTTCTTAATAAAATTTATTTATAAAGGAGAATCCTAATATAAGTGAGTATTTATAAGTTAATTATTTATTTTTCAATATCATTATAAATGGAATATTTTTTAATGTTTTTTAAATTATTCATGAATTTAAATTATTAGATGATTTCTTATTAAGAAATATTGAAGAGTTTCAACCAGTATTGGTTCAAAATTTGAATAAATTTGGTAATTTAAGGAAAAATATATGTATAGATTTGAATTTAAAATAATAAAAATCAATATCAATATTAATTAATATTATATTAAGGTTATGTTTTTTCAATAAAGACTTTTAAGTAAATAAATTATGAATAGAATAATTTTATATTAGAAATAATCAACTCTATTTGTACCAATTAAAATTCTATAATATAATGAAATTAAAATTATTTCTATTAAAAAATTAAAAAATTTATCATTAAAATTATACATAGCAATGACGTATCAATGATTAATTTGATAATTTTAATATATATTTAATTCAATCAATTTTAATTACTTTTGATTCATCTTCATGTTATAAATAAATATATTTGCAGTCCTTATCCCATTCTAATTTATAATAAAGTGGATATAAAAAGTTAAATTAATGAGTTAATTTAATGTATATATTTTCATATCCAGATATAAATGAACTAGTTGGTTTTAATTTAAAGATCTTTAAATTTTAATCCTTCTAAGAAAATGAAGCTAATTAATTTCCCTTACTATCAAAGTCTATACTTGTTATTTATGCTAATTTATCTATTCAATAATTACATTGATATCTATCTAATGGTTATAACTTTACACCATATCTTAGATCATAAATTTAAACTAAACCATCAGATGCAAAAGCTAATTTTAATATCTGTTAGGAGTAACTTATAAATTCAAACTTTTAATCTAAATATTATACTAGTTTAACATAATTTTTATATGTATACTTTCTTAATTATTGATTATTCTAATCTATGGTTCTAATTTTATTAATATATTTAATACTTTATTGATAAATCTAAGATGAATTATATATTATGAAGTAAAATATTTGTTTTGGATAGACAATGCAATAAATCAAGAATTGAACATGCTATAATTGGATAATTGTCTGTTTAATTAATCATTTCTTGGATAGTCACCTTAAATTCTTCAAAAAAATATTCAGATAAAGCAATAATTAATATTCTTAATCTTTGTTTTATTCTCTATAAATCTATTCGACTCATTTATTAATACTATCTCAAATTTTCATATTTATCCTTCTCTTTTGATTTCTTATTAAGAGGGGAATGAATTATCTCTTTTAATTAAAATCCATATTTATAAATAGTATAAATGTAATAATAAATTGAAATAAAAGTCTATAGACATATTTTAGGTTATTAGATGCATTTATGAAATTTTTTCATTCCATCTTCTAATAATTTAATAAATACAAACACAATATTAGGTTTGTTCAAACATAATTAGTGAGTGAAACCTGACATTATTCTATTAAATACATAATTAATCATTTCAATATTACTCATCATTTATTACATTAAATATGTTTGGATTATTAGACACATAATCTCTAAAGAAAAATACACATTTGAATTATTCTTTTCAAATTACTACAAAAATACTTTAGAAGTACTTTATAATACCATAATATCATTACAAAAACTATCCATTTTCTTTATTTATTAAGATATCAATTAACAAGAAATCTCAACAATATCCTTTGAGTTATCAAGACTATATCTAGATAGACTTAATAAACTTGTTTAATTGTTAATTTCTTAGATTGAAAATCTACTTTTTATTTATTTTAAACATAATGCTGCTGCTATACTATATTAAGTAGACATTAATCCACTTATTTAATAATTGTTTGGTTCAATTAATCTTGAAAATCCTTCTGCCATTCCTTACAAACCAAATTAACACTTAAATATAGGTATTAGATTCAAAGAATGATAAAAGTGAACATAAGTAAAGGGTATTTTCATAGAAGCTGTATTTTCCATAGAATCTTTTATTATTTCAATATTCTTTTTACAATCAAACCATAATAAATAATATGAAGAACTTGAATCTTATCTTCTTTGTTCTTTTTATTATTTATAAAATTTATTTACTCTATCAAATTATAATGTAGATTTGAATTAATTTAAATAAATCTTATACAATAAGAACATATCTCCCATATCTTATGACTCAAATATAGTTATTGATTTATCTCTATAACTTATTGCTGGATCTTCATATGATAGTATATGCAAAATTTCATCAAATTCAAAAGAATTTTATTATATTTTACTTAAAATTCCTAAAAAATCATAAAAATATTATTGAGATTATTGTTTCAATTCTTAGGAATAATTGTATTAAATCTAATAACTTCTATTTGAGTATTCTAAAAGATCAAATTATGAAACCTAATCAGTTTTGAATGATTTGAAATCATATGAATTAATCATTTAATACAATTTCTATGTTAATAATGTATCAATATTGAAATACTCTTATAATTATTGAATATTAATCATTCTTTCAAATTTACCATTTTCCATTGACCAAACAGAAACTTCAACTCCTTTTGAATATAAAAATATCAATAAATGTGGTACATAATATAATTTTACTTATCCTTAATTTAATTTAAATTAATTATGAAAAGAGAACTTCTTAATATTTAATATAGTATGATATATTAAAATAGAGTCATCTTCCAGTAATAAGGCCACAAAATGTTTGGCTAACTTTCTTTTAACAATAAGTGCATCATTATTTGTGAAGGTGCTATTGTTAGATTCTTAGAATAATTATCTAATTTATATTACTTACTTTATATTTGATTGTAAAACTGTTTAATAAGTTGAAACAAATTCAACTGATTAATTATCAAATCTACCAAATATATTTTGTAAACTAAAGACTAATAATTTTAATGTTTGATCAACAGCAAAAATAGAATTTTTAATAAATTTTAATGAAATTATACTTTATTTTAATTCATTATTAATATAAATATTCCATCTTTTATTCTTTTCATAAAAAAATGGAATCAAGAATATATTTCCTTAATCTGTTCCAAAAATAGCAAAAAGATCAGTCTTATTATATAAACCAATAGTATATTTAGATATGTTTTTAATCTAATTCAATTAATCTTATATATGTTCTGGTAAATTTAAATTTAAAGATTTTAGAATATCATTTTATTCAAAAATTTAAAGATCTACAATATTTTTTGGTAAATCTGTTATTTCTTATTATTTTGATTCATTAATAAATTTTGATTATGAATAAAGGTAGAGTATAAAACCTTCAGAAAGTAATTTTACATCAAACTAATTATCCTATTAAAGGTTGCAAATACGAAAATCATCATAATAGATAGAATCTGGTTTATAAATTTCAATAATGCATCCATTTTATCTAAATAATAAATTATTAATTGTGAATATCATCTATTAAAAAAAATATTTTGAAACTTAAATAGGTGTCAATTATTAATTAAGTAATAGTAATAGTTATCCTTAAGAAGATTAACTTTATTTTGAAAAACTAAAACCATTAAAATCAAATGTTATACATTAATTATAACTTTTAGATATTAAACATATAATATCTTAAATATCTTTTTCATAAATGAAACTGGTATCACCATTTAATTATTCAATTATTATTATATTTTTATTTTAGCTATTAAATAAATGAATATTTCTAAATTTAATTAAATTTGTAGAAGATTTAATTGAAAACATTTCTTTTTATTACTCACTCTCTTTAAAAGGACAATTCACAACATAAATTTATTTTGAATAAACTATATACATGATCTATGATTTTGTGTTATAAATGGTATTGATTATTTTGTTTTAAGGTAATCCTTTTAAATAAAAATTGGAAGTTAATCTTATTAAAGACTTTTTTAATCCATTTTTCTTTTTCTCTTATGCTTTCTTTTCAATATACTTAAAATAATTTTATCTTTCAATTTTTTTATATGCTGATGTATTAATTTAATAGACTCTACATTTGCTATCTTGAATATCATCAAATTATACCAATAATAGCTAATTCAGTTCCAATAGATGTAAATATAGAAAATCTAGGCTAATCAAATTCATCTTAAATCTAAAATATTTTACTACAACACATTTTCCATAAATCATAAATATAAATAGCTGTTCCTTCACCAAAACAAGTAATATATCTACTTGTTCTATCACCAACTGGATATATTTGTGTGATTTATTTTGAATACAGAAATTAATCATGATTTGAAATCAATATTTATTTGCCATCTAACATACTTAATATTCTTATTCTTTTATCTTAATGAATTGCTATTACACAATTCATATTGCTATCTTAAAATTCTGCAAATGGTCTTCTCATTATTTATAAAGCTGTTACTCCTCCTACCCTATATATCAAATGTGGAGTAGACTTTATAAGTGGTTTTAAATTAAAGTTGTCGAATTCCCAAATGATTATGTCTCCATTAATTGAACCTGTGGCAACCCTTTTTTTTTCTAAATCATCAGCCCATGTTGTAATAAAATGATTTTTTAAGTCAAATGAGCCAAAATAAACAGGAATAAATAACTCTGGCATATATATATATTTGCAAGTTAAATATTATTAAATAAATATTTTATAATTCATATCCAGAATCATATTATTACGACTATAAAATAATATTTTTATTTTGACTTTTTTATGGTTTCAATTATAATAAATATATTTAAGTTAAACTTGAAGAAGCTTATGAATCTTTTTAAAAACAACCTTATTTTTTCAGCATCAAATTTTTATAGTGAATTTGATAACTGATTATAAGGATAATATAATATATATCATGATGGGAAGAGAGTTTCTCATTTTGAATTTGAAAATCTTAAGTTAAAACATATTCTATTTCAACTAGACTTTGAATGTATGGATATATTTAATTGAATTAAAAAGTTTTATTTAATGACAAATAAAGTAGTTTTGTATTACCATTTACAATGTCTTCTTTATATAATTATTGGAGATTTGAGAAATATTCAGATTACAACTTAAATTAGTTGTAAATTTATTTTATAATAAACGAAATTTAGTTTAATTAGATTAAATTATTAGAATGATCATAATTCAATATATTTTTGATTAGTATTATTTTATTTGCCTTCTTGAATTTAATGTTTAACATAATTCAATTAGATTCCTAGAATATTATATTCTTACAGATTTTGTTTAGAATTCAATATAAAATTTAATAAAAATACGATAATTAAATATTATTTTAAAAACAATCAAAAGATTTGGAGTTAATATTTATAATTATTACATAGATATACTTATAAAATAAGTACCATTATTCATTAGTATTTCTTTCAAATATAACTTAAACAGAAACTTAATTATTATTTGTTTTTGAAATATTTATTAATTTAAAATAGAGTAATATTTTATCTAAGTAAATCTGTTGAACCAATCTTGAAATTACAATATTATATTTGTTAACAATTGAAGATTAAATAAACAGTAACGCAAATATCATTTATACAAATGCATTCTTGATCAAAATATTAGTTAGGTAATTTAATAAAATTGAGATTAATAATATTTGAATAACTTATGAACTTAATTAATTAATATTTAGATTTTTACATTTTTGGATCTTTTTTTGAAGCTTCTTTGGCTTCTGAATAGATGTGTTTATGTTAGATTATTGCCTAAGAAATAATCAAATATCATAAATAAACTATCATTTATGTATTGAATACCTTTATGTCGTTATTACTAATACAAATGTTTAATAATTAATTAATTTAAAAAAACATTTAAAAATAACCAAAATAGACATGAAATGTTAATAATAGTCTATGGTGTAGAAGAAATATTGTATTATTTAAAAATATGAAAAGTTTAGTTTATATATGAAGCACAAGAAATTTGACTATTTATTGATTAAAAATGATCAGTCTCAATAAAAAATGGTAATAAAATTTGAAATTTATATTTTAAATAAATAACTTATTCTGTTTCTAATAGACTATATAAATATAATCAAGTATTCTTTAATAGTATTTATTGTGGGTAGTGTAAATTATTAAAATTAAGAATACTTTTGTCCCATACTAATTTTTGCTAAAATTATACTGTAAGCAAGTACCTCAGCAATTATTTCTTTTTATAGACTGCAAAATCTTATAAAATGTTCTGAACAATCTGTTACTGTATTTTCAAAATATCTATCTATTTGTGAAAATTATGAATAATTATAAAAAGCAAATATGTTTTTAAGATCTTCCTATAAAGTAGTTTCTTATGGTAGCATTATAGCTAAACTGACTTCTCTATTTTAAGTTAAATTGCTTTCCTATAAGGCTTTAATTTATATAGATGATACTTCCCATCTATTATAATCTTATAAAGCAAATAGTTTATTTTTCTTTAATTCTAATTTTGATTTATATTTTTCATATTCCTATTGTGATTAATCTTTTTATTTAATGAACTATTTTTGATATTTTAGTTACCTCTTTTAAGGAGGTAATTGAATGATGATTAAATTTAAAAAAAGAACATAGTTCTTCTTGTACAATTTTAATTTAAGCTGTTAAATTATTTCCCCATTAAACTAACATATTATTCATTGAAATATAAAGTATATCTAATTTAGGTTGTTTTCCTTAAGGAATTGATTAGTTAAACTTATTTGTAAATTAATACAAATCAGTACAAGTCTAGCCCATATTATAAATAGTATTTGATAATTAATCAAAATCTAATAATAATTATTTAGAATCCTTTTATAGTGTTTTATAACTTAAATCAATTGAGTTAATTAATAAAGCAGATTCATGATTATATGTTCCTAAATTATCATTAATTTATAATTAAATTTATCCATCTAAAGAAATAATTTATTCTATTTTTGTCACTCTAGATAATAAAACACTTAATTTTTATATATGTTTGAAATCTTTATCATCTTTTATTGACAAAAAAGCATAAAACCATTTATCATGTCTAATCAATTCATATTGTAACAAAGTTTAAAGAAATTTCTATTATATTAGTAACTTTTCAATACTTCTAAAAATTTCATTCTCTTTAATAAAGAAAGTTCTTATTCATTCTTCAATATAGCCTTTTTAGGTAATGGAGGAATCTATTATATATATATATTATACATATTGACCAGGATATACTTTATTTAAAACTTCCCTTAACCATAAAAATTCATTATAACTTCTTTATACATTCCAACCTGTAGGTTCTGTATTTACTAGGTAAGTATAATAAGATGCTGAAAGTAAACTTCCTTGATTTTTTTCAAATTTAGTGATACATATATTTATTTCTTGAACTATAAGTATCATTTTTTTATCTTATATTTAACATAAATGGATTTTTTAATAAAAGCGATCATTATCAATATTTGGTTTAGCAAGAATTTCTTAATGTATTTAATTTGATACAATCTGCTACTACTATTATACATCCAATTATAATTTATTTTGTTTATTTTATGAAAATTATTGTTCTTATGTTTCAAATTACATATGATTATCAAAATCTGATTATTTGCAAGGTTCATCATCTAGGTTGATAGTTTCCATTTATAGTTAATTTTTTGTCTAAAATAAAGTTATTGTTTCTTATAGTTCTTAATATGTCCATATATTAATATCTTATCCTCCTATATTTAAATAAATGAAATTACCATTTAAGTTAAGTTAATCCATATAATCTTAAAAAACTTAACAATCATATCCTTTATCATATATTTCTCTTCTTAGTAATATTTTTTTTCTATTTATTTGTTCAGATTCATTTTAATATTGCATTAAGTATTAATAATTCTTTTATTTTATATCAAATTTACTTAATATATAATAATTATGTATAATTTATTGATTTTATTTTAATAAAAACATTATCTAAATTATAATTTGATAATCATATCTATATTATTAATATTATTTCATTTTGTGATCTTAAATTTATGATTATGAAGTGTCCAATATTTTATATATTACTATTAGATACTATGTAGATACTACTCATTTAATATGTTATATAATATATATATATTAGGAATTTTAATATATTTATAATAGAATCCTAATAATGTTTTGTAAATAACATTTATATTTGAATTATATTAATTAATTAATATTATATGTCGAAGGATCAAGGAGACGAATAAGGATTATCAGCCTAATCATCTAGATCATAATCACCTTAATAGACTAAAAGGAAGAAATAATTTTAAATCGATTTTTTTATTGAATGGAAATACATTGAATAAGATGAATTGAAAAATATATTAGAGGATGTGAAAGTACCATAAATAACATGATTTAGTCATAATATGATGTTAAATCTATTTAACTTAATCGAAATAATCAAATTCCTGGTTTAGATGGCACAGCTTTTTCAATAATTGATTCTGATGATAGCAAATTAAATTTATAACTTGAAGCCATCAATAAAATACTTTCATTAATTGAGTAAAAGAAAAATCATACTTTTGAAATGATGATGCTTATACCTGAAGGTATAGAAATTCTATAAACATTAGGAACTGTGTCATACTTAATTGGTACATCTGGAAAGCAAATTAAAAATATCCAATTAGAAACAAAAACTGATGTTGTTGTTAATAATGCTATAAATAAATTTTCCTTACGATCAGTTAAAATAGCTGGTAAGGATATAATTATAATTATTTAGGTTAATCAGATTGTATATACAATGCCATAAAATTAATAACTAATAAATTGCATTAAAGAGGGATTACAGAAGATGACTACATAAAGAGAGCTGAACCATTAGATCCAGGAAAACTAATTACTAAAGTATTTCTTATTATTAAAGAGGTTTAACTTATTTTTATGGATGTAATTGTGGATTATATTCTTAAAAATAAAGATTTAGAAAAAAAATATTAAATAAAAATGAAATCTAAAAGTATTAATGAAATACCAATCAAAGTATTATTCAAATTAATTATATTTAGAATAAATTAAAAAAAGATGAAGAGATATTATAATTAGTTGGAACTTTGAAAAATGTTCAAGAAGCAATTAAATCTATAATTCGAAAAATAAGTTCATAATTTAAAAGACTTGAATTTGATGTTAGAGTAGTTATGCCTGCTAATTTTGCATCTAAATTAATAGGAGCAAGTATATTATTATAATTTATGATTTTTCAAAGAGGGTTGCCAAATAAAAGAACTTGCAAATAAAGCTAAAGGTGCATAAATAAAAGTTATGTCTGATAAAGATGATACTGATATAGGATAATGTATTATATAAATATAATTAGATTGTTTGGTTTAAGTGATTGGATCTGTGGAACATAAGTTAGAGGCTACAGTGTTAATTTTGGAATAGATAGAGTGTTTTAAAAATGGAGGACCTGTATTTAAATAATTAAAAAGATCCTTGAGAGCGGAAAGTACATAAATGAAAACTTTGCATAACAATACAAAAATTCAGTTTCGATTCAAGATATTAAATAAAAAAGGTTATATAATTATTCTAATTCTTTTTAGATAGAAATCCTCTTCATCCAGATCTAGTAGAAGATTGAGATCCAGATCAGATTCAAACAAAAGACATAAAAAATAAAAAAAATCTAGATCAACTAGGTACATCTAATCAATAGAAAAGTTCAAACTAAAGAAAAAGCAAATATAATCCATTTTAAACAAAGATAGTAGTTCCAATAAATTTAATTGAATAAATGAAGAAAAAATTAAATCGTATTGGAAAAGAAGAAGGAGTTAATATTTAAGCAGATAATAAAGTATAATTAACTTATATATATATTTAATAGGAATTCAGAGATGAGTTTGTCCTAAAATTGAGAGGTGAAATGAAAAATTGTTTGAATGCAATCTAGCTTATATTAAGTGAATAATGTAAATTATAAAGAAGATGAAAATCCATAATATTATCAATAAAATATTCTCAATAATAATAATTATACAATTATTATTTATATTTCTATTTAGATGAAATAAACATTGAATTTCTAAAATACAAGATCTTTTGAAGAAAGGAAAAATGAATCTGATAATTGCAAATAACTCTATCCTAATGATGTATTAGTAGTAGTGGAATAATCAAGTAAAAGTAAATTACCAAAATAAAATTTTATAAAGTAATCTAAATATTTTAAATAGATTCAAAATGCCAAACACAATGACAATTATGAATGTTCTGTAATACATTAAAAGCAAAATTAAACTTTCATAATATGATTCAATTAATTTGTATTGTGGGAAGACATTGTTGAGAATAGGTATTAAAATAACAATAATTTTAAAGATTAAACTTTAAAAGAATTATATCAATAATTTAAAGATTAAGATGGCTTTCTTTATATTAATTACATAGAAATGAATTCATTCGGTATATAATTTTGAATTTGATATTTTTTTCATTTTTATTTATTCATTTTCCATAATTAAGTTCCTCAACACTTAAAATTTCCTTCTCAATTTCATGATTTATGATTCTATTTTAATTAGAAATAAAAGTTTCAACAATTTACTTAGCAATTTCAATACCTACAGTTCTGGCACCAAATGAAATAATATTACATCCAATTTCTATTGCTTTTAATGTTGAATCATAATCATTAACTTATCCACATCTGATTCCCTTAACCTTATTTGCCATCATTGAAATTCCAACTCCACTTCCACATATTAATATACCAATTCCATTAGATTTGATTACTTCATTGCATACATTAATTGCATAATCATTATAATCACAACTTTAATTTGTATATGTTCCTTTATCATCTATTTAATATCCTTTTTTTTAACAATATTCTAATAAATTATTTTTATATTCTAATGCAGCATGGTCATTTCCAATAAATATTTTAATTTAATTCATATTTATTTTAATAAAAATACTACGTAATTATTCTTAATAATAATTATAATAGTATAAAAGTTTTCCTTTAATGAAATAAGTAATATGATAAATAAGTGGAATAAATTGTGACGTATGAATTATATGAATTACATAAATTGATTATTGTATAAATACTTTTTTTAAAATGTCAGATTTTATTCAATGGACATATGAAAATCGATATTAAATCTCTATTGATTTAGCAGCTGGTTCTATTAGTGGAATGTAATATTCATTTTTTTTTAAATCATTAGAGCAAATTGTATTTCAAGTCATCCATTAGACACAGTTAAAGTTAGAATGCAAATGTCAGAAGATGGAGTTCTAACAACATTACGAAAAATCATAAAAAATGAAGGATTTAAAGGTTTCTATAAAGGAATGTCATTTCCAATACTCTCTATACCAATAACTAATGCAGTTGTATTTTCAGTTTATGAATTCTGGAGAAAATTTTTTATTGGAAATTCAAATAAATAACTTACATATTTCCAAACGTATTAATGTTATAAGAATTTTAGTGCATTTTGTGGAACCATAGCAGGAAGTTCAGCTGCTTTATTCTCATGTCCAATTGAATTAACAAAATGTAAATTATAAATGCAAGAGACTGAAAAAATTTACAAAAACCCTTTTGATTGTGTTCTTTAAGTATTTCTTATACAAAAATAATAGATTTACAAAAAAGAAGGGTTTAAATATATTTTTAGAGGAATGCATGCTACTTAATAAAGAGAAATTCTTGGCTACTCAGCTTAATTTGCAGTTTATGAATTCATTAAAGATATACTATGTGATTTATCATAGAAAGCAGAACCTTCAACAGCAAATCTATTGATATCAGGAGGTTTAGCAGGTGTTTCATGTTGGACAATAGGATATCCTTAAGATGTAAAATAAAATAATTAAAATCAAGACAATTAAAACTATTCTTTAATGTTAAACTGGCAAAAATCCAGGGGTTTATAAGGTTAGATGTTATGATGGAGGATTTTTTGATTGTTTGATGCAAAAAATATTTACTGAAGGTTTCGGTTCTGTTTGGAAAGGATATTCAGTTTGTGTCTTTCGGGCATTTTACGCTAATGCTATCGGATTTTATGCGTATGAATTGGCCAAAGAATAACTTACTTCATTATATTAGTTTTGATGTAAATATATTCAATGTTTATATTTCACTTAAATTTTGTATTATATTAATCTAGTAATATAAATTGTAATTAAATAAAAAAATAATAATGATATTTAGAGAAATTTGTTAGATATTTATATTAATATGGTTTTAATATCTTAAATAGATTTATAATTATTATATTTGTTTAATATAACCTATTAGCACATTTTTATTTATAATTTTATTTATATTACAGACCGGTGTAATTAAAAAATAATACAGTATGGATATTTAATTAAGGGAAAAAACGTATATAAATTATTATTTATAGAAGTAGGACTAATACACTTAATAGAATCAAATTTAACTCGTCGATGCAATTCTCCTTCTTAGAATTGGGTTTTGAGATATATCATAATGGTCAATTTAACAATCATAAACTTTTTTCCCAATTTACTCAATTTCTTAGGAGTTGGTTAAGGTTTGATTATATTTCTCATCACCTTTCTTTTTTAATATTGAAATAGGAATCTTTTTTGATATCATAGATTTTTGTTTATCTAAGGCACAACCCATCTTATTTGAAATCCTTCAATAAATTTAAAAATAATAAATATTATTTTAAAAACCATTAAATATAATGATTAATAAAATATCATAATAAACATAAAAGGAGTTTATCATCATATTCATTCGATTGTAGGGTCATAAAAGAGAACTGTGGGCATTTTTGGTCCTTAAGAACAGTTCTAATAATATTTAATTTAAAGTAAAAATTCTGTAAAAGGATTAATTAAGTCCTTATATAATCTATAACTGATATGATCCATATCATCTGCCAAATGTAGAATACATTTCTCAGATTTACATGATTCTAATTAAAAATATTAATTTACTATATAATTCTTATGCTTATGAATATGGTATGATATTGTCAGCCATACCATGTAAAATAAAAATAGGTACTTTGACTTTCTAAATTTATTCTAAATTATCAAATCTTTATCTAATAAGAAACTATGCCCATGAACCAATATAATCTCTTACTGCAGCTTTAAGTGAAGTAAATGGAGACATTAAAGCCAAACATGCAGGTTTGTATTTATTTGATAAATAAGTAGCTGGTCCACTTCCAATACTTCTACCAAATATAATAATTCTGTTTTCATTATATCCCAATCTTTTTGTTAGATAATTAAACACATATTCTGCATCATTTAGTATAGACTCAGCTGAAGGTTATTCATTTTTATATTTCCCATATCCAGGATATTCAACAGCTATAGCTGATACCTAGATAAGACAATAATATATTAAAGTACTTGTAAATTATCACGTAGATGAACTAAGAAATTATAGGATTATGTTATATCTTCACAATTTGCATGAAAATAGAGTAATATATTTGGAGAATGTTTTTTTGAGTCTACATACATGCATGGAATATAACCATTGATTTAATGGGATTCCCTTGAGTTTGATCTTGGAGGAGGCTATTCATCATTAGATTCATTTAATTGTTTTTATTTCATATCAATTAATTCTTAAGGTAATTTGATAAGTGGTTAACTGAAACAAATACTCTAATTGATTCTTGTCTTTTTAATTGGATAAAGATTTGATGACATTCTACACAATTGAGGTTTTTTTGCGATGATTTAAACAGATTACATATTTAGTTTTTATAATTTTTGTTGAACATCTGGACTCCCCTCATTAGAATCAAATGTTGGTGAGTTTATATCAGTAGTTTATCTCTTTCTTTATCTACTGGTTATTGGTTTCCATTAAAAATTAGGTATTGGCTGTAATTAAGATTCTCTATTCTTAATCAATATATATTTATACGTAGGCTCATCAATTAAAAAATGATCATCATCAAAATCTATTTCACTTTATTTAAAGAAAATTCCCCTCTTCTTATTTGTTCTTGGTACATAATTTTGAAATGTAGGATAGAGTTTTGGATATTTTGGAATCCATAATATTTGACCATGTTCATGATCATTAGATATTTCTTTTGGTGCTGGAAAAAAGATAAAGTCTAAATCCATAAAACTCTTATTATATATTTTAATTATTCTTTTGATTATTAATATCAATAGAAAAAATAAAAAACTTCCAAATTCTAATTAATAAATTTCTTATTGTTCTAATCCCCTCAAAAATAATTCAAGATAATTTAAAGAATAAATTACAGTATTTTTTTAATATTTACAAATACAAAAAATTCAATTAAAATATTATCATATTTTCAGATTTCTTATGAATTTTTACTAAAAATTAATAAATCTAAGATATAATAAGTTATAGTATTAATCTTTTTTTTGTTTAATAAAATTATAATCTAATATTCATAATCTTTAAAATATTATGATTTAATTTTAAAGAATGAAATTGCAAATGATTTTTATTTAATTATGGATTTGGAATTTGATTTCTTTTATATATATTGTAGTTTATAGATTAATACAATTATATTAATATATTATAATACGTCATTAGAACTGTATAAATAAAATATTAATATTTTACATGTGAAATCATCATAGAAAAAAATAAAGTCATTTTGTAAAATAATTAATATTAAAGAGGAGATAAGATAATGAAAATAAGATTTAAATAATTATAAATAATAATTATAAATAATTAATTATATATGAAATATCTTGGTAACACAGATAAATTATATAATATAACATGATTTAAAATTGATTTTTTTCATCAATATTTCCTAGAGTACTTTTTTGATTTATGAGTAGATCTTCTTTTATAGCTATCACTACTTTCAGATTTATTTCTCTACTTTGAACGAGATCGATCTTTACTTTAATAGCGAGAACGATCTTTTGTTTCAAAATTTTTGGAAGATTCTATTATTGTAATTTATATCTACTTTCATAATCATATTTATTAGTTTTAGGATGTCTTCTTTGATATTGAAATCCACTATAATATTTATTATTTTTATATTTATCAGAATCTACAGATTCCTATCTTTTTCTTCTTTATTCTTGTGATTTATCAGATTCTTCACTACTTGATCCTAAAATAAAGAAAAATATAAATACTTTTTTTATTATGGAATCTATTTTTAGATAGATCATCTTCATAATATCTTTTATTTATATCTCTAGATTTATCTTATTTTTGAGATTAATATCTATGTCTTGATTTTTGTTTATCATAATAATCATTTTTATCATATTTGTGTCTAATATATTTTTCAGTTGGACTTTTTTAATTGTTATTATAATATTTATGATGATGATGATGATGATATTTATGTTTTTATCTAGTAGAGAAATCTCTGCTTTTTTCTGATTCAGAATTACTTTACTTTTTTTAGTATTTACTTGAACTAGATTAACTTCTTTCACTAATTTCCTTTTTTATATCACTTTTTTTATTTATAGATGTATATTAAGGATTCAAAGTTATCAATTATAGATTAGGTAATTTTAGATTATCATCTTCTTATTAATTATTAAATCTCTTTATAGTTTCTTATTATTATCCACTATCTAATGTTATTTAATCAGAGGGATATCTTTTAAAACCTAAAATAGCCTAGAGAATTTTTTTTGTTAATTGAATTAAATTCTTTTTTCTTAGAAATTACTCATGATCTGTTAAATTCTTTTAGATTTCTTTACCTAAACAATATTATATATATAATTATGTTTCATAATCTCTTAATAATGAAGAATAACATCTTTTTACAAACCAATTTTCAAATTTTGATTCTCTATATTTCATAATATTGAATTAATAAAAATAAGGAGTTATAAGATCCCAATTTTTCATAAATGCCATATCATTAGTCATCATAGTATTTTAAAGATATTTAAATACATATCTACACATTTACATAGACATTTAATCTTAAAATTAATCTAATTTTAATTAGCATTGTTAATAAATCAAATCTGAAAAAGTTTATTTAGTTTAAATAATTTAATTTCTTAAACATAGTACCAATATAGTCATATTCTTTCTAGGATGAGAAGCTTCAAAAAGTAGAACTTTTGTAGATGAAGAACTTCTTTCAATTATTTATTTAACTTATTTACAAGATTCTTTATATTATGGAGATATTAAAACTGTAAAGTATGTCATTTCTTTTTCATTATTAGCTTCTTATTCTAATAATTTTTTAATTGCAGTGCTTGTTTCTTATATTTATTATAATGTTCCAATTAAACAAACTTCTTTTTCTCTATATTAAATATAAAAAAAAGGATGATTAATATCTCTTTATGTTTATTCTCCTCTTGCATTATAAACAGAATCTCTTGAAATTCTGATTTCAGCATTTTATTTCAATTAAAACATATTTTATTAAACTGATTTAGTTTCACTTCTACTTATATATAATCTTTAAACACATAAAGTTTTTAAAGTATTTCTAATTTCAGAAACTGTTTATTCTATATTTTATTTAGATCCTTTAATTTTAATAGGAGTTGCTTTATCCATTGGAAATATTTCCTCACTATGTGCTAATGATTTATTGTAAATAATATTGACTTCTTATTTATTATCTAAACTATTACTAAAATAATAATATTAATAATAATTACAATTTATTTATTAATCTCTTCAAATAAATAATAGGAACTTTAATCTATCCTTCTATAATTCCAAGTTCTTTCTTTAATTCTTTTATTATATGTTCTACCATATTTAATATAGATCTAAATATATTAATTTATTATATAGATCCTATTACAGTAAGATTATTTTCCTTTTTAAAGAAATCAGCAAATTATTAATCAATCTATTCAAAACTGATCTTGTTTCCAATTTTATAAATTAATTAAGCATTCTTTTTGACTACTTTTTATTCTAATATATTAATTTTAAAACATTCCTTAATCATATCAATATTTAGAATATTCTATTATTAAATGGATTCAATTTATTCATGTAATTCTAATTTCTCCTTATATTATTCTTCAAATTTCTATTAAGCAACATCTACAATAGATTGCATTTATTATAATTTTCCAGAATCTTAAGGTTGAACTTCAATGGATGATTTAATAAATTAATCATTTTTAAAATAAGATGTTCCTGGTATATGAGATGAAGAAACTTGTATTTCTGATATTGGATTATCTTCATCCTTTTTTAATTCTTCATCTTATCTAGTTGATAGATATTATTATGGTTATTTGAGTGACAAATATTCTCTAACAGTTTGCTTTTCTAAAATCTTCATCATTTTATATCTATTATCATATTCACTATCAGAATCACTACATGATGAAGATGAAAGTTCTTCTCTTTTCTTTTTCTACTTTTTTTCATTATTATAATTTTTAGCTTTCTTTTATTAAATTCTATCTATATTTGTTTTCTCTTTTTCTTATTCTTCCAAAATACGTTTTTCATCTTAACACTCTTAACAATACCAAGCATCTTTAGGTACTGATTCTAATGGAGGTACTAAACATAATAAATGAAATCCACAATTGCATTTATCACATAATAATAATTATTCATCATCTTATGGTGTTTTAGTTTAACATATTTTACATACCATATTTTCTAAATGCTCTTCCCATTCTTCT